TACAGAAAACTTAAGTTGTCTGAGTTGATTCCTGCATTTCTTTTTTCCCTCACTTTGTAATCGTTTGCCCTTTTTAAAATTTCTCACAGAGACTTCTCGAAACTCAGGTTTATCCACGCAGATACACAGTTCATCCCAAAATTATTCATACCCATGCCAAATTTTGATTTATGGTGAATTTGTATTTGACCTAGAGGTTTCTTCTGGCTGGAAATGACATAAACAAGTGACAAAAACATTGTGTTAAGGTGTTAAGGAACAAGTGTTTTTTTTATTTTCATTAAAAATGCCATGTCTAAAGTTACTCATACCCCTTAAAATTGTCACAATTTTTTGAGAAAATGCTTCCATACCATAATCCACTGTGAGTTGAGAACAGCCGATACAGTAGTTCTCTAGTCACTTGCTAGTTAATTGCAAGTCATGGCTGAAACTAAAGAGCTTAGGACCTCCAGTTGCTCACTGTGGCTGCTCTCAAGACAGAGAAAGGCTATGAAGCCATATCCAAGCGTTTTCAAGTGCCACTGGCCACAGTACAAAGCAAACAAAACCTCGTATCTCAATTTCTGACGTTTTTCAGTTTTGGCATAATTTGAAAATGCCTGTTGCCCTTTACATTGTATGTTAATTTCATTATGATTGGACCAAAAGAAACGGCCCAAAATTACTTGGAAAAACGTCTGGTTCCATTGACTTACATTAAAAGTAAAGTATGTTTTTTCCTTCTTCTGTAAAGTTATCATTTTGGAGATACGAGGTGTTATTCAGACAGCCGCGATAATCATAATAAGTTTCACACTGTATAATCTCAAAGGGTGTGGTAGGAAGCCAAAAGTGACCCCCTGTGCTGGCAAGAGAGTCCAGGAAGAATCCCAGGCCATCTTGATGAATCTGAGCAATTCTGGTACCAACATCTCAAGACAGACACTCCATTGGACACTGCACAAGGCTGTTCTCCATAGACGCTGCAATAGGAAGACTTCACTTCTCCAAGGCAGGCATAGAATCTTGCCTAGCCTTTGCAAAAGCTCACCTGGACAAGGTAGAAAGCTTTTGGTCATCAGTTTTGTGGTTGGATGAGACAAAAATGTAGTTATTTGGCCACAGTGACATGACTTTCAACAACAGAAACAGCCCTAAAAAACACTTTCTCCACAGTCAAGCAAGATGGTGGGAATGTAATGCTTTGGGGGTGTCTTTCAGCCAATGGCCCCGGCAGCCTTGTCAAAGTAAATGGCATCATGAGAAAGGGGACTACATTAAGATTCTGAAGAAAAAACATCAGGCAGTCCAACAAGACGATGATCTGCAACATACAGCCAAAGTGGTCAAGAAATGGTTAAGTAAAAACAATGTCAACATTTTGGAGTGGCCCAGTCAGACTCCAGACCTGAATCCCATCTGTGGAGGGAACTAAAGACCAGAGTGATGCCAAGGAAGTCTTCCAGTGTCAAAAGACCTGGAGATCATTGCAAAAGTGTGGAGTGGAGTGGTCCAAAATCCCAGTGGAGACGTAACAAGCTTTTAAGAAATGATAAGAACCATTTGCTGTGATGGCAAATAAAGGCTTTGCCACTGATTATTGAAAAAGGGTATAAATAATTTTGGACATGGCATTTTTCGTAGAAATGTAAAAACAAACGTAGAAAAATACTTAAAATGTATCATTTATATCTATAGCACACTGTTGTACTGTCTTTTGTCACTTGTTTGTATCATTTCCAGCCAGAAGAAAACTATTGGTAAAATAGAAATTTACTATATACTAAATCTAAAATTGGCATGGGTATGAATGATTTTGGGCTCAACTATAGATGTATTGTGTGTAGAATGGATGGAAGCAGTAACTGACATTTTATATGAAATGATGGTGTAATTTTCCCCAAAAATATTCCCCAAATAAATCACTGAGGCCAGACAAATACTAACAACTGAGCTAACATATAGCTAATATGTGTAATACAAGTGTAATATATGTTTTCTTGATGTGGACAATGTCTAGTCTTTAACCAGACTGCACTGTCCCGTAGTTATTACCATTAAAAGCCTTTTCCATCTAGCTTTAGGTTTAAGCTAGGTGTGAGAAATTGCTCTAAAGCTTTGTACTCACTAACAAGCTAATGAACATGAAAGTATTTTATATACAGTGGGCTCAAATGTATTTAAGTATTTGTGCCACCATCTGTTAAGTTCAATATGTTATTAAACAAAATGTCAATCCATTTATTTTATTTAAATCATTCGAAGATTGTCTTTTTCTTTTTGGCAAAGTATTCTTTTAAAGGGCGTCTGGCATCTCTGCTAGAAAAAAAGCATAGAGCATGCTGGTGTGCTGCTGTGCTGGTCATCCTGCATGGCCAAGCTGGATGACAATCTAAACCAGCACCAGACCAGCACTAGACCAGCCTAAACCAGTATAGGCCCGTTTAAACCAACATGGAGTGCATGCTGGTCTGTGCTGTTTTTAGCAGCAGGGATGTTTCAGATCGTTTAAACAGTTTCTTTGCAGACATCTGCAGGTTTGTGTTGAGTTCACGATCCCACCAATGAACACAAGCTCACGGACACCATTGTAGAAAAAACGGCTCCAGACTTTGACGTTTCCGCCTCTGTGCTTTGCAGAACCCTTAGTGCAGTCTGGTTGAAATTTTTCTACAGGTTTTCTCTTATACTTTTTGGTGCCACTGTTTGAATAAGCCGATGGCGTGACGCAATATGACTAAATTTGTGTATTTGTCCAGTAAAATGCACTTTATTTTAATTAAAATGATTGGATACGATTAAATTTTGACAAAAACTAAAATGTTTTCAGGTGGGTTGTACCTCATGAATCTGACTGGTCACCCACCCACGTTTAGCAGGCTGAAGGTTCTCTGCGTGGGGGGGCTGCTAGCACTAACATAGCTTTTGGTGCTTTTCATCAATGACACTGTGTGTCCTTGTTTAGAAGCGTTCTGAAAGATTGCAAAATTAACACAGCCCACAAAATGATTGTTGCTTGTATCTTTCAGAAGGAGATGGCTTCTATGAAAGTGTTAAAGAGCATCCCATCAGATGATACTTTTGAGGACTCCAAAAAGTGCAAAAAGAAAAAGAAAAAGTCCAAGAAAGAAAAAAGGGAAAAGTTGGTTAAGAATAAGAAAAGGACAAAGGGGCAGCAGTGGCTGAAGGATGACACCAACTGCTTTTCGTCAATCACCTTTACACAGATGCCTGAAATCAAGAAGAGAAAAAAGAAAAAGAAGAATGAGGTCAGACTGAAGGAAGAATTTCCATTGCTGCTGACACAGCATGAGAAACCAAGCCTGTCCAAGCGACACAAACAGGCTAAAAAGAGTAATCAAAGAGTGTACAAGGCTGTTGTGCAGCTTGATGAACAGCAGCCCATGAAGCCAACTTTAGATGAAAGCTCAACACTGAAAGAGCAGATCCCACATAAGAGGAGAGTTATGTTCAACTTGTCACCAGAAGAGATTCTGCCTAAATCACAACTTCTGCTTGCACTAAGAGATAAATTTCAAACACAGCCATCCTCCACAGACAAACAACCATCATTTAACCCTGTGATCTCTGGAGTTGGAAGCCACAGCAAGCCATTAGTTGAAGAAAATGGCACAGAGTCCCAAAGTACAACTGAAGACATCAACAGTCAAGATCTGTTTATCACACAGAAGTGCTTCTCAGAACCCTGTGCAGACATCTCCAGCAGCCTCAGCACTGATGAGGCTGCTGCTGTTCCACCATATCAGAACAGCATGCAATGCAGGACGTCAACACAAGAGAATCCATCCTGCAAGCAGACAGTTGATGCTTCTACCCAGACAGAAAACTTCTTCACCTTTCCCGGGCTTGCGACCTCTCTCAGGTTTCATCAGAGCACAGCGTCCACGTGCGCTGGAGAACCAATGGACCTCAGCCTACCTATCAGATCCAGGAAAGAGGTGGGCCTTCATCGGTGGGACGGTAAACCTACCGAAGACCAGAATTGTCCAGAGCTGAAGACAGCAGACATAACATCAAGCGACGAGAGCGACATCCTTTCAAAGAGCAAAGCTGACCTCTCCCAGCTGAAGGTGGTTCAGACGAGACTCAACGAGTCCTTCTTCTTTAAGCTGAAGGGTGAGGGAGATTCACCAAAGCCAAGGTCACCTTTGATGGTCCTCTCAGGAAGTGCTGATAAGAAGGCAAAGAAGTAAGCAGAGTAGAATTCTAATGAAAGTATTCTTATATCTGAAATATGCCTGAAAGGGTTTTTTGCACAATACCACAGAAGAACTGTTTTTGATACCCTAATAAACCTAATAATCGATAGTTCTTTTGAGAATCTTGTAGAAGCTTGTAAATAAGTTCAAAGTAAAAAAAATTACTTTTAAAGAACATTGCCTATTGCAGATGTTCTAGGAAGAAACTTTAAACTGGTATAGAAACTTTGTGTACATTCCTAAAAAAGGTGCCACAAAGGGTTCTTTGAGCGGTCCTATCAGAACCTTCCTGTTATATGTGGGTTCTTTACACTCATATATCACATTTACAAATATGGTTCTCTGAAGGAGTATCCACTATAAGTTCTTTAGAGAACCAAAAGTGGTTATTTTATGGCATCATAAAAAGAACCCTTTTGGCACATTTATGTAAGTTTTTTAAGCTTTTAAAAGGTTCTTCAGACTCATATATGTCTTTTTCTCTTTTTCTAGCATGGTTCCGTAGAGAATCGATGGTGACTCTTCAGTGGCATCATTTACAGAACCCTTTATGGCACTTTTTTTTTTTAAAGAGTGCACTTGCATCTAAAATTTCAAGTTGTGTATTGGTATTTAATGCAAAACGTTTCAACCAGTCCAAGTTCTTTGGACTTGTTCTCGTTGATATGTTAATTTTAGGGATATTATAAACTATAGATATGTTAGAAATTATACCATGACGGGTTGTAACTAATTAAATTTATTGTGTTAACTCAAGTTAGTCAGGGATCATTTCAACTTTATCAGTACCCACAAAGGTTGTAAGCATGGCTTGTTTATTCATAAGAAAGCAGGTTTGACCATGTGTCATGTTGTTTACATAAACCTTTATTTACATTTCTAATTAAATCAATGTTCTAATTGTGTCTGAACAGCTTGATTCCCACCCATTTCCACAGATGGAAAAACACATAAACAGGAATAGTGACTGGCAATAAGAGACTGTAGAAACAGACACTATTGGAGCTTGTACATCCCTCTGGGAAGTTTTCATCCACACTTGCAGAGTACATGAGTCCAAATAAGGACAGAATTGGTACAAGCACAGTGACAGTAGAGAGGGAAAACAACATTGTGGCAGTTTTTGTTAAACTTAGTGCAAGAGACAGCAGCACACGGCTAATGCTGTAGATCCACCTAAGGCTGACTGGGTTCTTCAGTTCCCTCTGTCTTCTTAATCAGCCGTGCATCTTGAGGAATCATATTGGGGATGCCATCGATTATGGGATATGCAATGCCAAGCTCTTCGTTGATTAGTTCATTTGTTGTTTCATCATACCTAAAAACAGACAGATGTGTTAGAACATACAACAGGAGTGCACAAGCCAACACTCACACACACTTAGTCCTACTCTTAATTATTCCACACCAATGGGTTTTCAGTCCAGTTTGTAGAGAACCCCAGCAAGTGTTTTTATTGTGTTTCTTTTCTTAACACAGCTGAAGCAGGTTATCAGCATTCTGCACCCCTTTGTTTACCTTGCTCAGGGGGGTCTGGAACTGAAAAAGAATAAAACATGGACTGGCTGGGTGCTCCAGAGGACCGGACTGAAACCCTATCCTCTTCTCTGATCATTTTTGAACATATTACATATTACACCATATACATACATTTAGTTTTACTTCTGATACTTAAGTACATTTCAGTGAACTACTGTAATTTACTGTAATACAATTTGGATTCAGTATTTTAACAGACTAACTTGTCTTTAACTCAGTTTGTGTACTTCTACCATTAAGTTACAGTTCGACTTTAACAGACAGAATGTAAGACATCACTCATCTGTGGAAGGCCATTCCTGACAGGCAGACAAGGAAAAAAAGACCAGGTTATGTTTTCTTTTTCTGCGTTTCTGGCAGCAGGATGTCAACATTTTGACTTCTCAGAATTTTAATTAAACATTGGTATATCAAAATAGTTACATATTATATTTAAATAACTTGTGTATCTCAAAATAACGACTTACTTTGCTGAACGAATGACTACTTACTTTTTATATATAACATCAATCACTATTTTGACATACTCATTATTTCGAGATACTAAGTCAAGGAAAATAAGTCATTATCTTGAGATACTCAATAGTTTAACACACTGCTGCCAGAAACAGATGGAGGAGGAAAAAAATCTGGTGATTTTTGTTTTCTCTGACAGGAATGGGCTTTCATACTTTCTAGCTGTGCAATCTTTAAAAAAAAACAAACAAACAAAACAAACAAAAAAAAAAACACAGGAGAATATATACAATTATTCTGTAATAATTAGTTACATTTATGCCTCTATATAATATTCCTGTTGTAGTGTTTCATTGTCCAATTATTAGTATTTATTACACGATTCTTATAGGAATTTTGCAGAAATCTCTGCAGTATTATTATAATTCTATACATATTTTTCAATACAATACAGCACACAAAGCTGGTCAACTTATCCGAATTTTGCCGTTCCACCTTAAATAGTGCAGCAGTTACTGGACCATTTAAGGTGGAACGGGAAAAGTCGAACACGAAGCTGGCGAAAAGGAAGCAAATTTTTAACCACTACTTATTCTGTTAATTTAATCTTTAAAGCAGTCATTCATGCAGTTTAAAGTTCATACCTGAGAGGGTTTTTAGACAGAGGACAGACCAGGAACTGCAGTAAAGAGAGGTCGAAGCTCTTTCCGCTGTCCTTCAGTCCATCACAGAACTTTCGCTCGTTAATCAGCAGCGGGCGAACCGCGCTCAAAAACGACCTTACATTCACAATTCTGCTAAATCTGAAAGCCTCTGCAGCTCCTCTCCTCACTGCATTCTGAGACATGTCCGAAAAAACAGCTTAAACGCGAAAAACCTCCAAAACCTGCTCAACCTGCTCTCATCCCCCTGGACACATCGGGGTGCGTCTGCGTGAAAGTTCCTGAAGAGACAAAGCGCTCACAGACAAGCGTTCCTGTTCAGAAACATGTTTAAAGGGCACCTCCACCGATTTTTCCCCAAAAAATTCTACATCATGAAATGACTGAGATGTGAACGAAGAAACTTAGTTTTTTCAAATTATATATAGACATATATTTTTGAATTTACCACTACTTTACCATCATCAACATTATATATAAAAACTCAGAAGATACGTGCAGGCTCACTTGTAGTTGTGTATAATAAATAAAATGGCTATATAGTGTGTAAACATCGTGACTTCTAGTTCCTATTACCACAAAGAAATCTGAGTTTGTAGGTTTCTCTGCAATGAACCACTTCACATCAAACCATTCTGAATTGCAGAACTAAATAACTCAGAAATTTTGAAAACTTGGTGGAGCTCCCCTTTAAGTATAGAAGACGAGACCGCTGTTGGATTAAATGGGGAAATTGTTTTGAACTTCACACGTTCCTGTATCAAAGGTACGTCCAAAAGCACCAAGATCATATAAATACACAGAGGTAACGCGCATCAATCCAGTACTGACAGGGTCAAGTTCCTAAAGTGACCACTAGATGTCAGTGGTGTTCCATTTTCTCGGTAATGATGAATATAATGCGTTTTCGGCTGTAGACTGTTTCACAATGTAAATGAATCATTTGTATAATTTTACAGATCATGAACAGCTCAGTTATTTATTTTTTTAAATTACTGTCCCACACAATCTTCCAGGCAATATTCTGTAAGCTGAGAAAGTAGATTTTGTAAAGCATGGTTAATTGAACCGGTACTTCAATGAGATTTGATAGTGATGTGTTTAGCAGAATGCATCTACCGAATATTATATACATGGTGAGGAAAAGAGTCTGAATGTTGAGAAATCTGTGCCCTCCTTCAACCATCACAGGAATATTGCTCTGAGAGACCTAACAGCATATTCCATCTCAAAGGCTATGGTTCTCATCCAGTTCAGAGAGAGCACCACTAATACTGAAGATGTCTCCTTCAATGATTCACTTCCATGCCTCTGGGGCCAGCAAGCAGCACAATTTACAAATATTTCCAACAATGTCCATCTTACTGCTCCCGTTCCGGGTGACGTGGGCCCAAAGGAACAGCTTTCACATATGGCTTAGAGGCATAAGTAAGTGTGTCTGGGGGTTTGACTTGATTGCCTTTGGTGAGCAATGGGCTTAGAGTGAACACTGCAGGAGCAAAGCTATCCTGTTTTTCAGCACCCACCCATGTGCACTTTATGTTTCCACTTTGGGCTTTAATTTGCATTTTATGGGTCAATGAAAGTTGGTAGAGATTCATTAACGGCAAGTTTGGTGTCGTATGTAAATACTGTCAAAACGTGCCATTCATTCATCAGTGCTTACAGTCCATTTATGGAGACTAAACAGCAAAAATGGTCTGTTTTTAATTCATTATGTCACAGAAACCAAAGCATTTTCATATACATAAGCCCATTTAACCTACAGCAGTTTAGCCCCGCCCACTGACACTGAAGTTATAAAGAGTGTTTCAGCCCTGCTTTTTGAATGAGACATGGCAGCCAGTCAGAACACAGCTCATTTACATATAGCGATCTTAAAGGCACAGTAACAAAAACACTTTGTTTAACTGTAAGGGATAAAGAGAGGCTGGAAAATGTTCATGTAAAAGTGATTTATGACTCCTAGATAAAACTCGACAGACGTCATAAGTGGACAAGCTTTATTAACAGTCTGAGTTTTGAAAATAATTGATGGCAAAGTAGTGTTTATGAATCAAATCTGAAAAGGCTTAAAGCAAAAATTTAGAGCCATTAAGGCCTAAAACTAGTATTTGATATGTTATTTGTCATGTTATGTAATGTTCTGCAATGCAACACTGCGTCCATCAGCTTTTCTGATTTGAAAGAATTCACAATTTTGTATCCTTTTTATATGTTTGTCCATCAGGGTTCTATCAGTACAATACCCAGCATGCATTTCACAAATACTAAATACAAGCATTGGGACCCCCCTCCAGCCGTAGTTTTCCAGTAGTTCCTCCCACCTTTAAGGTACATGATCTAAAGAGAATTATAGAGTCTTTGAACTAGAAAATCACACCCTCTGGACTATAGCGGCACCCCTGTAGAGGCGAGTGGCCTTGTTTACAACACATGTAGTAATGGTTACATATTTCAGTTTGTCCAGTGTGCCCCTTTAATAACTTTTGATTTGTTTGTGTCAGTATTTTTTTCAATTTCAAAGACAGACAAGATACCAAATTCATTTCATTTGGTTTGTGGGCCTCATTATCTTCACTATAATACATTATACAGTGCAAATTGTATATCGAGTATGCTAAGCAAACGGCTGCATCACCCAAAAGTAATTCCCTCTGCTTTATTATATTGATAAAGTCAATTTTTTGTCTATCTTGAGAAACTCTTAATTGCTTGGCCCCGTCCTCCACACAGCTGCATACAGTAGATAAACCCATACACTGTCTCCTCTCTGGAGATTCTCTAATTTAATCAAGTCAGAAGCTGGAGCTTCTCCTCAGCCTCTGGGGCTGTGATTTCCAGGTTCACAGCTGCTGACCCAGCATTTCACTGGAATGGTAACAAGCTTTCGGAGTGCTCCTGGCTCCTGGTGGTCAGGAACGGTTTAATATTCTCATCTAAGAAACAGCTAAATGGAGTCGCTTGCTTCTCTCTGACCTTGATTAATGATTAGGCTCAGAATTAACGAGCCTTGTGCGTAAATGAACTGGATAGTCAGCAGTTAAACACAAGCTGGCATGGAAGGAGTTCCCCACTGTCTTTATCAGGGCTGGTATCGGCTCCAGGTGTGTTTTGAGATCCATACAGCAGTAATGGTGCCCCATGAAAAATAACCTTGACCTTGTTTGACCTGCGTGTGTTTGAAACAGTGATTTGTAAGCTGTGTGTGTGAGCATTATATATACAGTGGAGCCAATTGTGAAGATTTCTTAGGCATTAGCATCATGGGCTGGGTTGATATTAGCATTTCAGCAACTCACCTTTAGAAGTTGTCTTGAAATGGAGTCAAGAAAGTCTCTCTGTTTGAATAATTCAGTTCAAATTTTTATTTGTGCAAATGGACACCTAGTTTATAGCCTCATCTTAGTTGGTTATCATGCTGTGACCCTAGAGCAGGGGTCGGCAGCGTGCGGCTCCACAGCAGAATTAGAATTGTAAGTAAAAAATAAAATAATCATCCTTTGCAGTAAAATAAAGCTCTGCTGATCGTTCAACACAGTTTTAACAAGAAATTGTCTTAAGTGCTGGAGTTAATGTAGCCTATATCTGTTAATTCACCCTTTAACCCTTTAGCCTATATCTGTTAATTCACCCTTTATGCATTTATAAGCACTCCAGCTTCCCTTAAATGGTGCAGCAGTTGCATTCTGGCACCATTTAAGGTGGAATGGGAAAATTTGAACAAGAAGCTGGTGACTGAGGAGCTGACTTCAGCCTCATAAAAAATCAAACTATTCTACTTTTGTGTAAAAGTTTCCTGCTGGAGATGTGAGAAAAGTAGCTAAAGCTGAGCTAAAACTTAAAGCAGAGCAAAGTAAGTCTGCATTTTTGTTTATATTACATTTTTAGTCTATACCAGGACGTTAGCACACATTAAGACATATTTTCAGCCAAGATGGTAAAATGTTACTTCAATAAAATGGACATAAAAGGTTGTCGCTCCCAATGTGGATTGATTTTTATTGAAAAGACAAAATGGCTCTTCTTAACATTTGGGTTGCGACTGGACTAGAGCACACTGACTTATTCTTCTCCAAAACCCAAATGTTGATTTACAGCACAGTGCAAAAGTCAGAGACCAGCCTTTATTTATGTGCTTATCGATTTTTCAGGAGATGTTTAAGAGGACATTAGATATAAAATAATGCACTTGAACAAGCGCAGTAAGTGAGAAAAAAACAGGAGTTTCCAAAACTGGAGTTAAAAAGTATAAGAAATACTGAGAAAATGGCAACACACGTGCAAGACCTGGCAGACCATCAAAAATATTCCCATCAGATAAACAGCAGCACTATGTAATATTTTTGTTAGAGTGAAAGAAGCAGCATTACTGAGTAAGCAGAAAAAAGAAAACACTAAAATACAGCAAGCCTGAAATAGTCATTTAAGATCAGAGGTACCAGGACGGATTTGGCAGGAATTTTTTGGACCACATCATATGTCTTCACATGTTAACATCACACTAACAGGCACACAAAAAAAGGTCCAACTCAATGTTTTAGGTCTCAAATGTAAACTCAACATGATGCTGATGAAGATATGATGACAATAGTAGATAATTCACTCATATCCTCAGAAGACACGTCCTTCAGTAGGTTTTGACAAAAAACAAAAACAAACAAAAACAAACGTCTTCAGAGTGAACTTGTAAGTGATGTAAAAGTAGTGTAACAACTGTACTGTCACTGTCTGAACAAAACAGGGTAGAACTGTCGCCTCAAGAAGGGACAGGGTTCGATTCCCCTGCCGGGCAACCAAGGTCATTTCTGTGTGGAGGTTGCATTTCCTCCCACAAGACGTGCAGTCAGGAGAACTGGACATGCTAAATTGCCCCCTTGGTGTGTCTGCCCTGCGATGGACTGGCGACCTGTCCAGGGTGTTACTTGCCTTCCGCCTAATGACCGCTGGGATAGGCTCCAGCTCCCCCTGCGACCCAGAAGGATAAGTGGCTTAGAAAATGTGTGTGTGTGTTTAACCACATAAAACCTGTAACAGTAGTGTAATGTTTGTATGTCACTGTCTGAACAAAAGTGGGTAGCGCTGTCACCTCACAGCAAGAAGGGCCTGGGTTCGATTCCCCGGCCGGGCAACCAGGGTTCTGTGGAGTTTGTATGTTCTGCATGGGTTTCCTCCCACAGTCCAAAGACATGCAGTCAGGTCAATTGGACATGCTAAATTGCCCCTAGGTGTGTGAATGTGTGTGTCTGTATGTCTGCCCTGTGATTGACTGGCTTCCTGTCCAGGGTGTTTACCGCCTTCCACCCAGTGAGAGCTGGGATATGCTCCAGCACCCCCACAACCTAGGAGGATAAGGGGCTTAGAAAATGTGTGTAGAGAAATGATCCAATAGAAATGGCCCATAATTGCTTGAATTATGGGCCATCTGCATATATCAGAAAATAAGAATAAGATATGAGAGATATGAGGTTTCATTCCAGCAGTACCTGTACATTAACTTGACTTGAACCTGAACTGAATTAAACTAAACTGAACTGAATGTTTTTGTGTGCTGGTAAAGGTTGTGTTGGTGTGTCCTCTGCTTAAGAGGTTAAAGCACGCTGCAGGAAAAGTGCATTTCACATAACCACATGGGGTGGATAAGAATGTCTAAAAAAAGCCCAGAAAGCGTGCCTTTACTTTAAACCTTTACCGAGACAGCTGAAAGCTCTTCTCAATGTGTTTTACCTCCCAATGCCAAGAGGCTTTCAAACATTAGAGGCCTTTAATGTCCTGACATCCTGTTTCCTCTTTCACGTCCTGATCTCCAGGGTCTGATAGGATAAAGGTGGATCTTTCATTTCAGGCATGAAAATGTATAAGAGTCATTGAGGAGCGTTTCAAGGACAGAGTTATGTATGGACGTTCATATCCAATGAACTGAGCTCACAGTGAGTGTGGAAACCCATTTCAGCTGTTTAAAGCCGAAAGCTCCAGCACAACTATTGACGCTGAAGGTGAAACGAAAGAGCAGCGGCTTAATTGGGCTTAAATGCATTGTGTCTTATTATCAGACAATGAGTGAAGAAGCAGACTAACGTTTGTCTCAGCCGACAGGGGCAGATATAACGACCAGAAATACTGCCGCACAAAGAGGACGAGAAGGAGGAACAATAGTAAACAACTAGAGCTGCAATGTGTAAATGAGTCCTTGTTTATCTACTGTGTGTTGTGAGCATCCTGACCAATCACAGTTGCAGAGGAGTGTTTTCATGAATTAAGATATATAATCAAACAAAAAAGTTAGTTAATTTGGTCAAAATAATGCAGGCCAATTTTTAAAGGGCCCATATCCTATATATTTCTTCTATTTTTTCTTACCTGGGGGCCTTTTATGATGTTCGTGTTGTTTTATGCATCAAAAACAGTCGTATTTTTGCATGACCAACCTCTTATTATGCCCTTGGACAAGGAACCTACCCCCCCCCTAAAATGTGTTGTTTTTTGTTAATAATGAAATAAAAACAGGGGTGTCTGGTAGCCTAGTGGTGGGAGAGTTGAGCCACCAACCATAAGTTCAAATCGCAGGACTGACTGGGTTTTCCTGGTTGTGCCCTTGGACAAAGAGCCCAACCCCACACTACCCCAGGCAGTGCTGCTCTGCTGGTGACACTGTGCTTCTCCCAGACTGGGCAGCAAATTGACCAATGTCCCTTGTAGGGACAATAAAGTGTAACATTGACATGTTTTTGAGTTTAGTTTCCATAAATGAACTGTACAGACTGGGGAGTGAATGGTACATTCTGAAACTAACTGTGTTTACATACTACACCAAACTCTAAATATTCAAATGAATAAATAAATAGAAGATATTATGATTTTCTAAAATATAAACCCTTTACCATATTGCAAGGCACGTCACACTCACAATATGTAGCAGTATAATCCCAGCGCTAGTATTTTGTCTATATTATGCAGCCCCAACATGAACATTTGATATCTGCTCTATGAGGACAGGTAATAATTGTGCATTAAATTGTGGTCCCCAGTTACATACTTATGTGTGAACATCACTATCAATAAGCACTCACCTATTCACTGACCAGGAAACAGGCTCTTGTCCCATGTTCAGCAGAGCTTTTGAAATGCATGAGACCTGTGACTCATAGCTACAGTGCAGTCTACTGTACCAAAACTCTGCTACGCTACTTTAGCTTTTCCCTCCACAAAACATTTCATAAGGTTTCATCCTGTCTGACTTGAAATAGAGGTTTAGCCTGAAAAAAAGTGTCTGGAACTTTTTGTTTTGAGGGTCATTTGTACAAGTGCACTAAAAAATGATGCATTGAATGTGCAGTACTGTGCAAAAGTTAGAGACCCATCACTTATTTAATTTCCATTCAAAACGGCCATTAAGCACAAGTTATTGATTTTTCAGAGATTTTTCTGATACAAGGTAATCCACTTGCATGAGGAAAGAGAAAGTAAATTAAGTGAAAAAAACAGGAGTTTCCAAAACTGGAGTTCAAAATTTTGATTTAAAGCTACAGATTTCATGGACTCCTAACAACCACCTGGAAGACCTGGTAGACACCAAAACTGTCCCCATCAGATAAACAGCACTTAAAGCTTTCATCTTTGAGAGAGAGGAGAAAATCAAGCTGCTTCAGATCTGAAAACATCCACAGGTGTTTCTGTCCATCCTCCCACTGTGAGAAGACAACTCAGCGCTATGGGTCTAAAAGGATGTGTAGCTGTCAAGAAGCTCTTACTGAGAAAAGAATATAGACAAAAAAGAAGAAATCAAACAAACAAGCTGCTTGTGTTCTCAGAACAACGGACTGACCACCCCAGAGTCCAGACCTCAACATCACTGAATGTGTTTGGGATTCCCTTGGATTGTGAGAAGCAGAAAATGCAACCAACTTCTAAGACTGAACTTTGGGGGTGTAGAAAAATATGGATGAACATCTAACAGTACCCATAGCCTTCTGTGAAAGTAAGTAGTCCTATGTGACCAAAAGGCTAGATTGAACCCTCTATTGCACGATGTTGCCTCAGGGCAACAAACTAATTTCCCTCACTTTACAACAACATTAAACATATTTGACAGGGTTGACACAATGACAGGGTTATAAATAAAGGGTAGAGTTTGATTAAGTCAATAAAAAGCATGTACCTGGTCATACTATCTCTTATTGTGCACCTTTATACCTTTTCAGCATTCAGTATACATTTTTTCATTGTAAGAATTTGCAGAAATATATTGCCTAGAAGCAACACTGTGTGACAGTGGAATGGATTTAGCCAGTCACAGCCAGGCCTCACCACTTCAGGGAACATGGCTCTGCATCATTTCTTCTCATTGTCTCACAATGTTGCCTCAAGGCAACACACTCCAAAAGGACCCTGCACACATTTTTTTAAAATGTTTTTGAATTTAATAATTACATCTATTTTATGCAAGAAAAGTGAATCTAATATTTTTTACAATTGCTCTCATAATGCGTGCAGTAGAGGGTTAACATCATAATAAAGCGATAAATGCTCACTTTTTAGTCATAAGATTTGATTGAATTGAATTAAAATGTTCAGATGTGGGCATCAATGGTTTAAGGTGGGAATGTATACAAGCAAATTAAATGCATCTCCCTTTCTTCGAGTGTACTGGGTTCTTTTCTCCTGCATAAATGATCTCCTAAAGAAGCACCTCTGCTCTCTCTTATTACTCAGAGTTCATTCATTTTGTATGAAGCGATCCTGCAGAAGATGGGGGGGTTAAATGTTCCAGGCTCGTTCTCCCCAAAGCATTGTAGCATTAAACTCATCTTAACTTTTAGCGAGAGCACCGAACGTCATTTCTGCTCCACCATCTTCTAATGATCTTTATGCTAGGATGGGTTTGGGGGGTGTTAGGTATACGAGCCATCAGCAGCTTTTGATTAATGTGGAGGGTTTTTGTCCCCAGCGTGTCAGAACGGTGGGCTGTGAGGGGCTGCGCTTTTCACTAAGCAGAAAATGACTTTTCTGCACCGCTAAGGAGCATCTTTAGTCTCTGTCTAACATAAAGCTGCTTTCATGAGCCAAACAAAATCCTTACAGAACTGGTTCACTATAAAAGGACGTAAAAAAACAACCTCAGTCAGTTTATTGGAAACACCTACTTTGTACCAACTTTACTTGGTCATTTAATCAGGAACACCTACCATGTAGTTGCACTTCGCAAATGCATAATTTGTCAGTCACCCTTCTATCTTGTCCATCAATGGAAAGGCCAACAGCGGTTTTGCCATGCATCAGTGCTACTGCTAAGCTAAGAGTAGTCTACCACCCTAAAATACCCATCCAAGAATGGCTCTGTGGTCAATAACTGACCCCTGATAAAAGACAGCTAAGGCAAAGGTACAAGGTAGGAGTTTCCAATAAAGTGGCCAGTACAAGCTGCAGTAAAAACGCACTTTGTTCTTTCAACATTTTTATTAAAGTCCTTACAAATATTATTTACATTTACAAAAATCATTTTGTGACATAAGCGTGTCAAAAACAGTTTAACTTAATCGTATAATATGCATCAGCCACAAACCTGAGACACGAGAGGGAAAAAAAGCCGAAAATGAAAATGAAGATGTTGCAAACTGATGCTACATAGTAGCAAAAACGCTCAACCAAATAGAGCCGTATGACAGACAATCGTTAAATACATTCAAGCAATTCAAACCTCTGAAACTGAACAACCACTACTTCTCTAAATCGGTTCTGTATAAAACAGGTGTTTCATACTTTATTTCATTATGTCTTTGGGAGAGGGAAACAGACATCAGGGTGCTTATTAAACTCAGTAGTATAAAACTGTACACTGAAGAAATGATGCATTGGATATATAGTAGGGTCCAGAGGTCTGAGAGCACTAGTGAATTCTTTTCTAATTTAAGTTTTAATTACAAATTATATTATCAGCATAACAATTTGAGCGAAATGCAGAATCTTGGAAATATTTACATGAACTTGAGAATTTGACATCAAATTGATATTTGGTATTTGCTTAAACACAGCATGTACTCAAGCTGCTTGTGTGAAATAGTTTGTGTCAAAGCCTCTGATGAGTAGATCATATCTGCCCAAGAGTCGCCTGAAAACAAGCTTCACTGGATAGATAAGACTCAAAAACAATCTGACTTTTTTGTGCAAAGACCTCAACATCGGCGTCACAAATGTGCTTTTGATTTGAACAGCAACTTAGAAAAAGTGCAGAATCTTCAATATTTCTGGTCTCTTTGTCTTAAATCTCTCAAAATTCTAAAACTTTATGTTTATTTCCAACTTGTGGTCTCAGACTATTGGACTTTACCTGATTTAAAGGTGTTCATCTTTTCCTCATATATGAAATATATTACATCAGCACATATACAGGCAAAAGTAAAGTGAAAGACAAAGTTGTGTTGATGTAATAGATTCTTTGTTAATGATGCACATTTGAATCAAGCAAATTCAATGCATCAGTTTTCCAGTGTGCTAATCTCCCATAGAGAAGACTCACCATGGCTGTGTCTAGACAGCAGGACATGAAGCTCGATTGAGATCAGTTTTTCTTCTTTCTTGTGTGACTGCCCTCGTTCTTGTGGGAATGCCTGTTATGCAGCTGAAGAGCTCGTTTCATGAACCTTTTACTGTTCAGTATTGCAGAAACTCACCCAGTTCACACTGGATTTAAGAAGAAAGTAATGATTTTGCTGTCTAAACGCAGGCTTTGTATGCAGAGGGAGGACGTGTCCAGCGCCAGAAATCAAGTGCCATATGTAGCGTCAACCTCAGAGAATGTTGCCAGCCAGTATGTTTGTAATTGTCCATTTTTGGTCAGTACACTTCTGCAAGGCGAGCTGGTAGCCAACCTCCGTATCACTGTTCTGGACCAACTCAAGACAGAGCTTAGACTCTCTGTTCTGGATGGAACCTCCCTGTAACAGACAGAGAACATCATGAGGTCAACCTGCTTTAAATGCTGTGACTGCTATAGTAATTATGTAATTAACTACATTGTAATGTAATGGATTACATTTACATTCTATTATCATTCTGTATCTACCTGTCTGAGTCTGTACATCTGACTTTATCTGTTTTCCAAGAAACAGCAAAGTTTCAAGAAATTGATTGTTTTTCAAGAAATTATAAAAAATGAGGCAAACATGTAAAACTTCTTGTTAATTTCTGATATACAGGACTGTTCAAATCATAATAAAACATTCCTCCACTTGTTTCAATGAGCTGCGAGTGAGAAATAATTATCAAATTATCAAAATTGCTAATTCTAAGGGGTAAAGGTCAGATTGACTATAAAAAAATGGAGAGACAAGGCCAGCATGACCAGACAGATCACCGACACCTCTTATTTGCTCAGAAATACATTCAGATTTGTCACATTTTTAAAGAGGAATTTCATCGATTTTTTTTAATTGTCTGCATACTTAAACGGGTAAGATGTGAACAAAGTCATTCTGAGTGGTTTAGTTTGAAAAACTTCTTTATGAGTCAGAACTTTTCACAGTGGTGGTGACAGGACCCAGACGTCTGAAGCGTTTAATGCCTCTGAAAGCTCCCTCACAGAAAGTTCTTACATTAAATGGTTAAGAAATGCTGCCTGACGCCTGAGACACTGTTTTATGGTATTTTGGAGGTAAGGTTTTGGTCTAAACATTTTTTTAATCCCATTCATGGCAGAGAGGTACATGCAGGGTGTTGTAAGGCAAAATAAACATATTTTTGTTTCCACTATTTTACCAATATGAATATGACATAAGAACTAGACGTGTAGGTTCACTGGTCATTTTGTATAGTAAATAAAATGGCTTTATTTGTGTTGTAGACATCGTGACCCCTGGTTTCCATCATCACAGCTGTAAAGAAATCTGAGTCAGAAAGTTTCTCTACAATGAACCATTTTACATCAAACCACTCTGGATAATGTTTATGTCTCAGCTGTTGAATTATGCATATATATTTTTTAAATCGATGGAATTTCCCTTTAAGCTGTGTACAAAACTGTGTCAAAACTCAAGTGATGTTTTTCCAAGGTTCTGAAGGAGGGCCATGAGGAGCCTCTCTCGTGCACTGCTAAAGAGGCACTGTGAGAGGCTGAGAGATGAAAGCAGGGGCTACAGGCCAAACACCTCACTGATCCGATTATCTAACACAATGTGAAATCCAAATCCCATACAGGCCTTCCTTCTGCCTCACTGTACCCATCCATAAAAGGCACAGTTAAAGGGCTGCAAGGTGATGGTCCAAATTCATAAAGACAGAGCTGAAAGCTGAAGCGTGATAGGACCACTCTGTGATGCCTTCTGCACCCTTTCGCTGGCCACTTTATTAGAAATACCTACCTTTTACTGTTATTCACTGGTCACTTTATTGAAAACATCAAGTTTTACTTCCACTCACTGGCCACTTTATCAGAAACACTGACATTGTACTTTCACTCTGTGGCCATTTTACCAGAAACACCAACTTTTACCTCCACTCACTGGCCAATTTATCAGAAACACCAATTTTTACTTCCACTCACTGGCCACTTTATCAGAAACACCAACTTTTTCTTCCACTCATCGGACGCTTTATCGGAAACACCAATTTTTGCTTCCACTCACTGGCCACTTTATCTGAAACACTCACTTGTACTTCCACTCACTGGCCACTTTATCGGAAACACCCACTTTTACTTCCACTCACTGGCCACTTTATCGGAAACACCCACTTTTACTTCCACTCACTGGCCACTTATTTTTTAGGTTGGCGCCCTCAAACCAAAGCTCCTCATACAGTAAACACTTGAATTCTGCTTCATGTTTAGCAGTCAGTAAGCATTCACTCATCGTTAACAGCTGAGTGAGGGGGAGGTCCAGAGATGCCCATTAGAGCCTCTGGAGGTAAAATGGTCATTGATTCTGCAGAGTAATTACCCAGAAGGTGTTAAAGTGAACTGACCAGCTGCATTTCCCTCAACACTGAACAGCTTCTAACCCAGACTAGATTTGATTTATGTGTGACTGCCTTATGTTCACACTCTCTTAATGAATGTGGATGAATTTGTGAATCTTGAAAAATAACATACACCAAATGTGGATTATAACCTAATATAACCAAACCATATAACCATCTAACCAAATTATGAGTGGGTTAATATGAGAAACACAAGAGCCCTGACTCTGAAAGTATGTTTCAAACTCTGGAAGTGGAATCAAGTCATATATCACAGAACACCTGGTTTATGGTTGGGCTTCTTGGACTTTTTGACCCAAGAACCCAAATGAGATAACAAGATAACTTATACTAAACACAATAGTGAGACACAAGCAGAAATGTATTACTACAGATAAACAACTGAACTGTCCTGCAAAACTGACTGGCTGCCACCAGCTCTTTTGTCCTCTTCTTTGAACTTCACATTTGTCCTGTAAGCCATCATATCAGATTTATTGTTTCACATGTTTTGATTAGTAGGAGCTGGGATTGTTTGTTAGAGTTGCACTGTAGAACCTACAGTCCTGCATGAACTAAAATCCAAAAAACTAAAAAACAATTTCAGCATCTCTAAAATCAAATCCTTTTTTTTTGTAATTCTAAGTAACACGTTACTTTGATTTTAGAGATGCTGAATTTGTACATTTTCAAAACTTGATCTTGTCCATCAATGGAAAGGGCCCACCATAGGACCACCACTGTCCAGATATTATTTGTGTGGTGGGCCATTCTCAACAGAGGTTTTGCCATGCATCAGTGATACTGCTAAGATAAAAGTACTCCACCACCCTAAAATAACCATCCAAGAATGGCTCTGTGGTCAGAAACTGACCACTGATGAAGAATGGCTGATACAAAGGTACAAAGTAGGAGTTTCCAATAAAGTGGCCAGTACAGGCTGCAGTCGAAGCTGCAGTAAATAACGCACTACGTTCAACATTTTTAATAAAGTCCTTATAAATATTATTTACAGTTATACGTTGCCTTTCAACACATTTTACACTCAGGCAGGTGTACTCACACACATTCCTCATCATGTCCACAAACTAATTTGGAGCGAATTCTGAACAGAACACACTGAAGAAGCCATAACAGAACCTCATATTTCATAAATACGACCTAACAAAAGACCTAACCAAACAGGACTAAATCTTATTCTTATGTTTATTCCAAAGGCACTGTAGGTAGGTAGGTGCAAAGAAGCTACAGCTGATATTCTGAGCTATACTGCCAGTCAAAAGTGTCTTCTTTTGAAATCCTCTGAGTAATGGCTGGATTTCACTATGACATTTGAGTGAATAAGGCGTGGTCACTGGCTGAGCGGTAAGAGAAGTGAGCCTGCAACCAGTTTTCAAATCTCTCGTCCAAAGACATGACCAAAATCTCTGGATGTTTCTTTGGGCAAGGCACTTAACCCCCCAGTGCCCCAGGTGGAGCTGCCCTACTGGTCACACTGTGCTGCTCCCAGTTTGGATGTATGACCGCCCCCTTTTAGGTGGATCAATAAAGTATAACTTAACCCCTTTTCACAGCAGCCATAAAATGCAATTTGCTAATGATTTTTGGGGTCCTTTAGTTGTGTCCTTATGCTTTTTTACACCATTTGTATGACAGTATGTATGATATGTAATAATATTTGTATAATGTGTATGATTTACAAAACGGAAGCGAGCTGGATTTTTGATTTCCTAAGTGGGCAAAAGGAAGATGAAGTGTTACTACTTATGCTACTGATTATTGTGGCAGTTTTACACAATGTTTTGATACGAAGGAAGCTGCAGTTGCAGTATCTCATTTATCTCAGCATGGCTGTCTTGGATTAGAGGTGTGAATTATCTTCACGGCAGGGGTCTTCCCCCTTGTCATACCCCAACCTCTGAGGAGACTGACTTGGACTCTCCCTGGCTCCGCCCACTCTCCTCCTCTCCCGCACACCTGCAGCCCATTTCAAGGACATTAAGACAGTGTTTTGATTGCGTGTTGGGGAAGTCTCTGTGTTACTATCTGTATTCAAGGCATCTTTCTTGGTATAAGGAGCAGGTTTTCTTTTCCAAACTATTGCTAAAAGTACACAGTGAAACTCTTCTGGTCCAAAGGTGGTTTAAAAACCTGTAAGGTCTGAGTATAGAGGAGTGCTGACATCACAATGAGGTCATCAAATGTGTGGCCTTCGGTCTTATTCCCAAGACAGCATGGACAGTCACTAATAATGCTGTCTAATAATAACAAATTGTGTTAAAAACAAATCGAAAAGCTAGGGGTCCCCAAACTTTTGATGCGTATAAGAGCTCTCTGTATGGTCTGAACTCCTTTCCTGTGGTCCTGACTTGTGCTCCCATATGAAGACTTTACACGAGGGGAACACGCGCTCACTAACATCTGCTGCTTCTCCTCTGTGAGATGTGCTCGAGTTTCATTCATTTCAACATCGCTGTTGTTAAATTAATCATACTACCATTACCAGCCACAGCGACCACTGTGCTCAAAACTGTTCGTCAACTAAATAAAATATCTCCCCAGAACACGTGTTCAGAAAAGCTCAATGATGCGTTCAGGTGTGATGGCAAGCAGAGCCTCATATACATGCAGAAATACATATATATAGATCTTGCAGACAGGCTGTTTCCTAAAATAAGCAGAACGAGCAGTTGCTCAGGGCCTCCAATGTTGTTTTTTTTTTTACAGTGTTGTTTTTTTTAAACATCACTTGTGTCAATCATGGAATTGGCAGAGGATGTGAAGACATCATCTGTTCAAGAAAATCAAGAAAGCAAAAACGAGTGTTGCCTAAACCCACACCTAACCCAAAACACAAATAAAATACAGTTACGTCTGTGAAATAATGAATCAATAATTCATTTGGAAAGTGCCTTTCCAAAAACTAACTGAGCAGAGGCAAAACAGCAGCTCAAAAATCTATAACCCCAATTCCAAAAAAGTT